AAACTGACCGACAGTGAGTATCGATGAGTTCATTGTCCCGGACTCGATCAGGTGGACTGTACAGAGCGCATAGAAATAGTGTGCGATCACCCAGATTGATGGCTGTGCAAACCTGCTCCACATAGTTCCATGAATCGTTCTCGATCGAGTTCTCGATGGTCTTTGCCTCCAACCCGCCACGGACAGCTACAAGGACACCTCCACCAGAAGATTTACGGCTGTTGTTAGGATTTCGATCGCAACGAAAGACCTCGTAGTTAGGACCGAATAGTTGACTGGAAAGCGTTCGATAATCCGAAACACTTTTCGCACAGGACAATTACATCGTAGCAACAATCCGATACAGCTAAGTAGGCGGTACTCTTCAACATCAGAATTCATTCCACCGGCGTTTTGGTAGAAGATCACGACGTCCTGCTTGTTGTTAGGAGCTACTGTTTATTGCGTCTAACTTGGTTGGTGGTTGGAATACTAATCTGTGATACTAATCAATCGTTCTGCTATGATTCAGGCAGGGCCTACTACATCTCCGCCTTAAGAAAATATCATAGGAAGAGAGCCATCTTGGAATTCTTGATTCACGTACGGAACATGAATGAGCATCGGATTCGTGCCGGATGTACTTGCTACTGGATGTTCATTGTTCAGCTTCGAATGACATGGAACCAACAGGAATAGGGTAATCGGGATTGACAGGCACTTCTGGATCATTCGGTACAACTATGGCATCTTGAACCTCATCGAGCAGGATTTCCCTGCGTCGATTTCTCTGTGATATCAGAATTGTGACGGGGCGCATTTTGGTTGACATGCGACGTCACCAGCTTCGATCTTCAGTTTATCTCCAGGGAAACGATATAGTTGACAGAACCATTCCGTATGATGACTTGACCAGGAATCCATCGAACTTGGCACCTTGTGTAACAGGAACAGGTTTCTGCAACAGGTCCAAAGTGGTTTGCACTGGTCTTTCGAGAAATGCTTCTGCTGGAGACGTCGATTGTGGTGTGTTTCGGTTCGGAATTGACCGATACACCGAAAGGAATGTCTGCAGATGCTCCAGTGTGGGCGAGCCTTTCCCCTTGATTAGCTACTTGAGGTCACGCTTGAGTTAATCGACGAATTGCTCCGCTTGGTCATTGGACTGCGGGTGGTAGGGAGCAGTGGGTAATACCATTTGCGCGGCAATACTGTTGAAACTGCTTGCTGGTGAATTGCGTTCCGTTGTACGAAACCAATGTGTCCGGGTTGCCATAGCGAGCAAACGTTTCACGAAGCATGTTCGGCACGGATGGCAGAGGACTTAAACACAAGCTGTCCCGAGTTTGTGTAATCACGCGAAGGTTTAGTTACCACGCCGAACGGTTTGGATGGTACGCCGTTGCCCTGCCGGGACTGCTGGAGCGAGTGCCTTTTTCTCGATTCTATCAAACAAACTGTTCAAGAGGCTAAGACAGTTACTCTACTAAATTAAGAGACTGTTACAATAGCGTGGTTCAGAATTTTGATGGACCGAAAAGGAGTGCCTTTAGCATCAGGTTTTTGGACTTTGATTTTAGACCGAGGACTGAACTTCTCACTAAATTAGAGATTCTGGTCTCAACAGTTATCTAAGCTTAAAACCTGATTAAGACGATTTAAGACTAACAAAAACATTCAGTTTATTAGGTTGAAAATTTGTCTTATCCAGCATTTTACCAGCGCTCATAGCCGCCACAATCTTGTTGATTTTCTGGTAGGGAATATATGATTTGAAGTTTGGCTTGTGTCGTTTGACCTTCAAACGACCTAACCCAAATCAAATCGAATGTTCCCTACCAGAAACTCAGCTAGATTGGGGCGGCCATCAGCGCTCGTAAAATGCTGGGTGCGTTCTCTTATTACATAGCATTGACCTAGACCTTTCTCGCGAACCTAAACCACAATCAGATAGAGGAGAATTTCCCCTACCTGTTCATTATGTTGGTTTGTCTTTGCGGACTTCGGTTCGCGAGAAAATGGCCTTACAAGGTTTGTTTACAAAATGGAGTTAAGGCCATTTCAATTGTTGGTCTTGATTGTGTCATTTTCGTTGCTCTCGTGTTCATTGAACCTGGCTAAGCGAAGGGATGATGAAACAGGACAGCTGTTTATATTTGATTTTGAATTTTATTTTCTTTGCATCGTCTTGGGTTATTCGAGAACGTTCTTCAATTATTGCTAATTTATCGCATTCACAACAAATAACAAAGCATATTTATGGTTGCAGTTGTGGTGATAGATTGCGTGCGAAAACATTCGGGCCACTTGGAGAATGCATCCACAATGGGCTGTTCATTAACTACGTAGATAGTTTTTTGGGATCCCCCACCCCCTCCCCCTGCGTAGACAATTGTCCATACACAATTTTTAAAATTTGTATGGGTCGTGTGCCAACCCATCTTCCTCCCCCCGGGTTGGAAAATTTCTCGATTTACCTGATATGTATGATATCGAATTCCCACTCATTGTAGCAAGACAACTGTCGGTAGACTGTGGATTATCCTCGCTGTTCGACTTGATCAAGTTTAATAACCTCTAATTGTACTTTAGCTGCCATTATATGAAGGTCCAAACACCGTTTGGGTGAATTCGTGGACAACATCGCCCACGTACATCCACGGTATAAATGAGAATCTCTTTCCAACAACAGGATCATACAACCGGTCAAAAAACAGGCCATGCAACAGGAGGATGTCCCAATGAGTGGGAAGAAGAGCCCGCCCTCGTTTCACGACATGTTACGTGGCATGTAGGCATTTCCACTCTCGCATTCATTTCGCCTCAATCGGGTGCCCTGGTGGACCGCCCGAACCCAGCATTTAATGTTTCATTTAATAATGGAATGAAAGTTAAAAGAAAAATAAGGAAAGATCTCACCCGATGTTGCAAAGGAATCCCGGAATGACATCACGATGATTTCGAAGAGCTCCCATGATAAGCTGCCGCTACTTTTTCAACTGATGTTAAAGCAGCACTCTCACCTTTTGTTCCTCACACAGCAGCGTAAACCCTCATCAACCACGAAACATACTCTAGCTGTACATAGTCTGTAAGACGCCGAATCAACTCGCGACCAACGCCGAAATTAGGAGAACCGACAACTTCAGCGACCGAAAACAAACGCGTCTAATAACGGCCACGGCACACTTCGATTGCATTTGTGAAACACAACCTAAACGCTCATCAAACACGACGACGACGACATTCGACAAGCACCTTTCGTCCGGGAGGCGGAAAGTCAAACGCCGGAAAATTTCTCGACTTCCCTGGGCATAGAGTATGATCACCGACGAACCGACGTGAGAGCTCATAGAAGCTACTTTCAAAATCTTGCCCAAGAAAATACGTTAAACACTACCGTCATCTACTCATTCGACCGCGACATATCATGGGCAAGGACACGAACACACGTAAAATTAATATTGACTTGATTTGCGTCTCACCTCGTTTGACAGATCTGATCGTCCGTTGGACATTTGACAAATCGAATTTCGGACAAGCGAAATGGTCCAGTGGCATGTTGGTTTGTCGGTGGTATGATTGTACTTGCCACACAATTATACTAATGCAAAACTGATACAGGAACCATTTGCCGGTTAAATTTAACTCGTGGTTAAAAATGACATTTCGAAAGTAATTTTACATGTTCGAAAATCCTTGTGTTATCGATCGATCGATTTTCGTGCAAAACTCAGTCACGGTTGTCAACTCTAACTTCTCGTCTGTCAGAAATAACCATGCTCGGACAGCAGGGTTAGGCTGTGAACCATTTGCCGAGTTAAATTTAACTCATGGTTAAAAGTGACATTTCGAAAGTTATTTTCTATGTTCGAAAATCCCTGTCCTGTCGATCGACCGGTTTTTGAGAAGAACTCAGCCACAGTTGTCAAAATTTAACTTCTTGTCTGTCAGAAGTAACCACGCTCGGATAGCAGGGTTAATCCGAGGGGGACGACTCTATCTACGATGCAGGAAATATTATGTTTTGCTGTGGCTAGCTGCGCGTACGCTGAGTAGATAGAAAAAGATTTATCACGATTTTGAAGATTTCCTGCAAAAAGATGATGCGCAATGCAAGTAGATGCGAGAAATGAAAGAAGATTTTGCGAAGATTTATTCGCTAGTGTGAGATTTTTTGAGCATCTAGAATTGAGATTTAGATGTGTCGCCCCCCTCGGGTTAATCGATAACTTTCCATCTGTCAAATTTTAACCAAAAGTTAAAATAATCCACCAACGAGCCTTAATCGATAACTCCTCCAAATGGTTAACAGCCTAAGTTGAGAGCACGCAATAAATTTGAAAACCTTATAGGTATTCTTGAACATCTTTGCAGAAGACGCAACATCCTATATGTGATTGGGATCTCGTGATAACACCAATCTCGCATCATGAAAGTGGACTCAAGTCAGATTCTTTTTACTTTCATGGGGCCATCCGTAGCCGAATGCCGTTACCTCGATTGACCTCTGCCTTCTTTTGAATGTAGCTCATTCTTTTCATATTCGGGATGATGGCGTTCCGGGAAGTGACATTCAGATTACCCTTCAGGATTATTACGACTACCAGGATTTCGCGATTTTTCTGTTTTGTTATTTCTAGAGCAACATCTTAAAAGCGCCTATGAGTCAAATGAAAGCAATGGCTTCAACCGTCGATTTCTAGTAGGTTAAGACTTATTCAGACTAAGTAACAGCAGCATCTGGTAGAGAAAGTTTGCTTCTTCAGAAGCTCACTCCAGATTCTTGTCCATCGCTCCGCTCCTCTAACTAAAAAAAAAATCACGGGCGGGACAGTAAATTTGAGTAGTTACGCAATAAAGAAGCGTTTTCCAAAGGTTTCATCTACAACTACATAGCTGTTCCTAATTTATCCTGATGACGTTATTTAGAAAGTGACGAAGACGGTATTTCCATTACACAGTTCTACGTATTCCGCTTAGTAATTGACTGATCGTTTCTCTTTTTTTTGCTATTACAGTATCATCCATCGAATCGCTAAATCCGGCCCAGTTCAGCAAACGTACATAAGCATACCTAATAGACACATACACACACAAATACACACCCAAACGCATACACCCCGTGAAGCGTAACGCACGCTCCAGGAGCAGCGCAACCCGCGTCAGTAATAACAATAATATACTACTATTACTACTAAATTACAGCAACTACAACTTCTACTACCACGAAGCAGTAGGGGAGAGCAAACAAGCATCCATTGTGTGAATATATAACTTATATAACGTGTAACTGTAATATTCAATGACTAAACGAAAACAACAAAAAGAAAATAGGAAACAAACAGTAATTATACTAATTTAAACCTCAAACAAGGACTTAATGAAAAAACAAACACGAGAAGAATATCAAAAATAAAAAAAAGCAAGAAAAAAAAATGAGAGTAACTCAAAAACAATAATTTCTACACATTTGAAAGACACAAAGACAACCTACGGAGTATGCAAAAAACAAAACAAAAAAACAAAATGGGAAGAAGTGAATGTATGACTTAGTAATTATACATTTAGGGAATATTTAGCAAACAAGAAGCAAAACGCTGACTAGCTAATAGGTTTTTTTTACCCATAAATAATTAAAAGAAAAAGGAAACTGCTTTAAACACAACCAGAATTAATTCATGAACTGGAGAAAACTAATTGAGAAAGTAACTAGGATTAACTACTATAGAACAATATGCTACCACACTTATTACTTCATGTAATTGTATTTTAAAGGAAAGAATTAAGAAGGAAACAACAACAAATAATAAGAAGAAACAAGGACAAAAGAGGTTGTGTGCATGTTTCGAGAAGGGAGTGGAGAAATCCTTTAGTAACTTTTGAACGTCATTTGGCATCCATACCCTGAACAAACTGAAGGACTTCTAGGCGCACTCCTTTGCGATCAATTGGATCGTGGGATGAAAAAAGTCATGTTTGCCAAATGTCACGACCTTTTCCAACGCTGGTCCATCCCAACCAACATTTCCTCACTCCTGCAAAGTTTCTTCCTTAAATTGTGTCAAATTTAGCTTACACCCACTTCCCCCCCCCCCATCCCACCTTAACCCCTATTCCGTTCCCTTAACGAGGCGACCGCGCGCATTGTCTGCTTGGTGCTCACTGTGTGCGCTCTGTGTGTGTGAATGAGGATCTCCAAAATCTTTTTAAAAGGAAAACAAACAAAAAAACAATTGAGATTGAAACAAAACTAAAACTACCTACGGAATGAAAATCACGAAATACATAGGTGTTCTTTCACTGTACCGTTAATTAGTCCTCTATCTGTGTTTTTTTTAACTATTATTACAAATTAGTATTGTTTTGTCGATGAGAGAGTGAAGAAAAATCGAGGTTAAAATCAGCATCGTAAGTTTAACAACTTATTTAAGATTCAGAACAGAATAAAACAAAAAAAGTAAACACAAAAAAATGCAACTATAGGTCAATGTAAGTAATTTAGGGCAAGTACTAAAGGAATAAGAGTAAAAACAGAAATCACCAATACACATGCAACAGTAAAACAAAATGTGAAATGAAAGAAAGAGTAGGAAAAGAAAACATGTTTAGATAGATAACTGTTCACAATTATTGAAGACGAGTGAGTTCGTTTGACTCTTGTTTGTTTAGATTTTTTTTATCCAACGAAAAAAAAATAGTAACACCTAATACAAATACAAATACAATATCAATAGTGAGGAAGAAGATAAAGCAGTTCGTGAACGAAAGGAATCACATACATATACCTAATGTTCCACCATCATAGACTGCGTTTAGTACCTTTTTGTGTTTTTTTCCCCCGTTTGAACCTTTCTGTGTCTGTGAAACCTACTACTGCTAGGCCACCACACAACCAAAAGCAAACAAAGGAAATTCAGAATAATTCAACAAAGCATAAGGAACAACAAAATAAGAAAGGGTAAAACTGGTGAAAAAAAATTAAATTATTGAAAAATAATAACACTGGAAACATTAAAAAAACATGTCTCAAGACTTACCGTTGTTTCTTCGAAAGCCTTACATTCAAACTGCATCCCATACAGGGTCACGCATTTCCCCATACTACCCTCCCCTAAGATAAAGGTCCGTCACTGACCTTTTTGTCTGTAGCCTGTTCTCCTTCTCTCGCGGAAACGACCATGCAGAAACAAATCCATTCTGGGTGACGTGGTTGACTGGCAAACCACAAGAATATACAGGGGCAAAATAATCGTAGCAAAATTGCTTCAACTTTTAAGTGCCACTCCGTTGCATGAATAGTTTATCAATTTTGACGAACATGAAAAAGTATTCGACGGGCACTGAGACCAGGCACGTGATAATTTTTGGATGTAGGTTGAACATATTTTATTTTTTTTTCCCAAAAAAATAATTGAACAATTCCGCGTCAAATGACGAAGTGATCAGACTTTACCTCCTCCAGGTTCGCCTGGAACCCATTAGATACTTTTTCCTGAACGTTTGAAATGTTTCTTGTATTACTTCCCATAGCAGCATAAGTCACATCTTTGCTTGATTTGCTATTCAAATGGGACCGTTATGCGTTCATGGGTAGTTTAAGATTAGATAATATTCGGCGAACACAAAAGCCTGAATGCCAATTTAATTTTAATTGTTTCGATTGAGGATTAATGTCCAGTGGCGTCGTTATAACCTCAATCTACATGTGCACTAGCTCTCAAAATATTTGTCGGGTTGAAACATTTCTCGACTTCCCTGGGCATAGAATATGACTGTACTTGCCACACAATCCCTCCGTCTCAGTCCTGCCATCAGCAGCCTTCGTTCACCATAGTCGTTCCGGACCTGCTGTCGGATGTGGAGAGGGGTTCTTCCAACCCACTCATTATGGCGAGTATTTAATCAGACTTGATGATGGTCAGTTATTGCCTGATGTATCTGTGATTTCAAGTGAGAGCAGTCGTTCAATTCCTTGTCGCAAGCAGGACGTCGTGATCTTCTACCAAAACGCCGGTGGAATGAATTCTGATGTTGAAGAGTACCGCCTACTTTGCTGTATCGGATTGTTGCTACGATGTAATTGTCCTGTGCGAAAAGTGGCTCGATTATCGAACGCTTTCCAGTCAAGTATTCGGTCCTGACTACGAGGTCTTTCGTTGCGATCGGAATCCTAACAACAGCCGTAAATCTACTGGTGGAGGTGTCCTTGTAGCTGTCCGTGGCGGGTTGGAGGCAAAGGCCATCGAGAACGATTCATGGAACTATGTGGAGCAGGTTTGCACAGCCATCAATCTGGGTGATCGCACACTATTTCCAACCGGTGGAAACCACAAACGAAGTGACAGACGACTGCTCGAAAACTTTGGTGACTAACCTTACTTACCTTACCAATCAGGCTAAGGCCTTGTTGTCCTCTGCTGTCCGAAGAAGTCGTCTCCACTCTACTCGATCCATGGCCACAGTTCGCCAGCCTCGTAGTCTGCGAAGGGTCCGCAGGTCACCTTCTACTTGGTCGATCCACCTTGCCCGCTGCGCGCCTCTTCTTCTTGTTCCTGTTGGGTCGCTTTCTAGAACCATTTTCACTGGGTCGTCGTGCGGCATTCTTACGACGTGCCCAGCCCACCGTAGTCGCCCAATTTTTGCAATGTGGACGATGGATGGTTCTCCCAGCAGCTGGTGCAATTCGTGGTTCATTCGCCTCCTCCACGTTCCGTCATCCATCTGCACTCCACCGTAGATGGTACGCAACACCTTCCGTTCGAAAACACCAAGGGCGCGTTGGTCCTCCACGAGCATAGTCCAGGTCTCGTGGCCGTAAAGGACCACCGGTCTAATCAGCGTCTTGTAGACAGTCAACTTCGTGCGGCGGCGAATTTTATTCGACCGGAGCGTCCTCCGGAGTCCAAAGTAGGCACGATTCCCTGCCATAATGCGTCTTTGAATTTCTCTGCTGGTATCATTTTCGGCGGTCACCAGTGAGCCCAAATACACGAACTTATCGACCACCTCGATTTCGTCACCGTCAATCTGAACTCGGGGTGGGAGGCTAACATTGTCTTCCCTAGAACCTCTTGCTTTCATATATTTTGTCTTTGATGCGTTGATGGCAAGTCCAATCCGTCTAGCTTCAGCCTTCAGTCTGATGTACGTTTCCGCCATCATCTCAAAGTTTCGTGCCATAATGTCAATGTCATCGGCGAAACCAAGGAGCTGGATGGACTTCCTGAATATCGTGCCACTCGTGTCTATCCCAGCTCTTCTGATCACACCTTCTAACGCGATGTTGAACAGCAGACACGAAAGTCCATCACCCTGCCGTAACCCCCTTCGAGATTCAAAGGGACTCGAGAGCGTCCCCGATACTCGAACAACGCACGTCACTCGATCCATCGTCGCCTTGACCAATCGCGTCAGTTTATCCGGAAATCCGTACTCGTGCATAATCTGCCATAGCTGATCTCGATCGATTGTGTCGTATGCGGATTTGAAATCGATGAACAAATGATGTGTGGGCACGTTGTATTCGCGGCATTTCTGCAGAACCTGCCGAATTGCGAAAATTTGGTCCGTGGTAGCGCGGGCACCCATGAATCCCGCCTGGTATTGCCCCACGAACTCTCTTGCATATGGTGACAGACGGCGGCATAGAATTTGGGAGAGTACCTTGTAGGCGGCGCTCAGCAGTGTGATCGCGCGGTAGTTGCAGCAATCCAACTTGTCGCCCTTTTTGTAGATTGGGCATACGACACCTTCCATCCACTCCTCCGGTAATATCTCCTCCTCCCAAATCTTGGCAATTACCCAGTGCAGCGCTCTAGCCAGTGCTTCACCACCGTATTTCAATAGCTCACTTGGTAGTTGATCTACACCAGTTGCTTTGTTGTTCTTCAGCCGACCGATCTCCTCCTCAACTTCTTGAAGATCAGGGGCCGGTAGCCTGTCGTCTTCTGCGCGTGCTCCAAGGTCTGTTGCCGTGCCACCTTCGTTTTCTGCTGCTTCACCGTTGAGGTGCTCGTCATAGTACTGCTTCCACCTCTCAATCACCTCACACTCGTTCGTGAGAAGGTTACCGTCCAAGTCCTTGCACATATCGGCTTGCGGCACGTAGCCTTTGCGCGAACTATTTAGCTTCTCGTAGAACTTCCGTGTGTCGTTTACGCGGTACAGATTTTCCATCGCCTCGCGATCTCGATCTTCCTGCTGACGCTTCTTCCTTCGGAAAACCGAGTTTTGTCTGTTCCGCGCTTGTCTGTATCGCTCCACATTCAATCTCGTGCGGTGTTGCAGCATTCTCGCCCGTGCTGCATTCTTCTCCTCTACTAACAGTTTGCATTCGCCGTCAAACCAGTCATTTCTTCGGTCCGGGATTGCAGTACCTAGTGCCACTACAGCAGTACTACCTATAGCTGAACGGATGTCCCTCCAGCCATCTTCAAGAGAAGCTGCGCCAAGCTGCTCTTCCGTGGGTAGTTTAACTTCCAGCTGCTGCGCGTAGTCCTGGGCAACTCCGGTGTCCCGTAGTTGCTCAATGTTGGGTCGTGGCGTTCGACTTCGACGTGTGTTATGCACCGTCGAGAGTTTTGAGCGCATGCATACTGCAACTAGGTAGTGGTCCGAATCTATGTTCGCACTGCGGTACGTGCGGACGTTGATAATGTCGGAGAAGAATTTCCCGTCGATTAGAACGTGATCGATTTGGTTTTCTGTGTGTTGGTCAGGTGATCTCCAGGTGACTTTGTGGATATCCTTGCGGGGGAAAAAGGTACTTCGAACTACCATACC